ACAAACCCAACAACAAACACCCAAACAAACCCCCTGAAAATGACTGATACTTTAGCTTTAAATTACTTCAGGTAGTTTGCAGAAATATCTTTCTGTAGATAAATAGAAATAAACTGGTAAATGTGTGGGAAAAATTGCAAGGTGTTATGAAGAACAGGGCTGACAAACAAGAATAGGCGTGTGGGAGTACAATACTGTATATTAGCTCCTGCGGAAAGCCAGATAGGTCTAGTGCCCCTTTTGAATGGAGGGCTGGGTTGTAGTCTCTTCCCCACCCACCTACCCAGTCCATTCTTCTACTTCCCCCCCACATGCGCCATGAGAAATGAGGGAACCTGTTGGCCAAGAAAGCTACTTCAACCTAATTCAACTTGGCACGGTTCCTTCTATGTTTCAGATGTCTAACCATGCCTTGCCACCAGTTGCTGCAGCCCTCATCCAGTGAAAAAGCTGAACAGGTTACTGAGAGCTGCCTTCAATTTTTGCTTGGGCGCTGAGGTGACGGTGCTAATGAAATCTCCTTTCCCCTGAGCCTGCATTATTAGCCATGGTATAAAAGCTATGATAGACTTTTATCAAGGCAGAAGGCACCAGAGGCAGGCTCTGGAATTACCAAACTTGAACAAATGATGTTTCAAAGTATAGTGTAAAGCCCATTGACTTTAAAACTTCTGCACAAGGAAGTCGTCTTGTCTTTGGAAGAACAAGTGTTTCTCTTCTAATAAGTTCTAATGGAGTTGTCCATTTCCATAGGGAATCATGGCACTGACAATGTGAGGAAGCATTCCCCCCGCCCTTTATAGCAAGGGGAAACATAACCAGGGGGAGAAAAAGTGCCCAGTGTTTTCTGGAACTCACAAAACAAAATGTACTTTTAAAATTCTCTTTCCTGTGAAAAACTGTCGTAGGTATAACTAGACTAAAGCAAAGTGCAATGGGTTTGCAATAGGCAGTAGTCAGGTTTAATGATACTTTAACATCTGACTACTTGTTATCAAATTATAAGGAACCCTGTAAGACTTGTAAATGTCTATTCATAGCAACTGTTAACACGCTAAGATGGGAGCTGCTTCGAAGGCGATTCTGTGAATTGCTATGTCAGGTATGATGCTTGTCTGGTGGGAGAAAAAAAGGTAGGCTTGCACAGGAGGTGCTCTGGTGGAAGGACACTTACAGCTGAGATGAACTGCAAGTAATTTGGCAGCATCTGATTTCTTCTTTTTCTAACATATCTATAACTGGATGCAGTAAACTGTATGTACTGATCTACATGTTATTATTTTCCTTCTTCGGGCTTATGGAAAAAATGGGCTAGAACTTACAGGTGTGGTGTTGGTATTCACTGGAAACGGTTGTTGGCGAACATATCGAATGGGGCTGAAGGAAGCTTTCCCTGATGTATTGGTATGATTTGTCCCTCGCAATCAGCCCTCTCTTCTGCAGACAGTCTTGAGAACAAATGTTTAAAATCTTGCAATAATTTTTTTTTTTCAGTGTCCAAGCGTTGGAATAGGCAGTGAAACAGTTAATACCTTTGTGCCCCTCTGTGGAAATGTGTTGGAAATTATATAACTCTGGAGTACTTTGAATAAAAATATTTTCTCCAAGTTTGGAAGGGGGTGGAGGGGGAGACATTGTGGGAAGACTTTTTTCTCAACCAGCTCTACTAAGGAACACTATAGCTCAGTGTTTGAACAGTCTGGATTTAACATAGAATAACAAGGTGTTTACAAAGACAAACAGAAGATCCTAAAATGTATCCTAGGCTGTAATAGGGGCATCAGAGGAGCAGAATCAAAACTGAGTTAGCTGCATGCAAATAAAACTTGTATTTATGCATAAAGGTCTGCAGAATTAAAGGCTGTGAAAGTAGCAAGGGGAAAGAACTGCATAGTCTTCCTGACACCTGAAAATAGTTCAACTGGAAAGTTAAAATTTTAATTTTGTTCATAATCAGTAGTATTGTTCCTGCTCTTTTTCTTACCTTTTGTTCCTTCTTATTTTTTTTTTTCCTTTCTACATCTACCTGTCTTAAACTATTTCTCTCTTGCAACAGTGCTGTGCAGAGTTGGAATGTGACTACAGTCTGCTGCCTGCATCAGCTGAGCCAGTAAAAGGGAAGGTAAGTGTGTTTGCTGTGACCATTGCTGAGCCTGTTAAAATGTGACACTAGTTCTGTTTGTTCTTAGGTTTTTTATATAAAAGAATAAACAACTCTCCTCATGAGAGAGAAGATGGGGCTACATCTTCCAATTTCTTTTCCATTTTTCATCACTTAAGCACCACTAGGTCAAATGCAGCTGCGTAAGTGTCACTTCAGAAGTTTCCTCTAGCCATCTTCAGGTGACACCTCTTCAGCCCTGAGCAGCGAGAAGAGGTGTGCGTTCAGGGGGAGGGGATGGTGGGGCAGTGCTCTGTCTTCCTGCAGCCCTGCTGCTCCTGCTGAGGGAAACCTGACCTCCTTAGCAGGTCCTGGACACTGGATGAATGTTCCCCTTCTCGGTCTGTCTGGTTGGCTTGCCTGGAAGGTTGTGTTTTGGGGGTTTTGTTTGTTGGTTTGGTTTTAGATTTTCATGGGGTTTGGGGAGGGGTTTGTATGGGGTTTTTTTTGTTTGGCTTTTTTTTTTTTTTTTGGTCTTTTTGTTTTGTTCTCCTGTCCTGCTCATCTTGCCTGGTTTTGTAGTGTCTAGTTAGAGACCTAGCTGGAACCAACACATGTGTTGCAAATGTAAAGTTGAATTATTCTACCTCTTCCTGTATCTGTTCTGCCCATTAAGGATGTGGGCTTTTCTAGACAAAAAAGCAACAGTTGATGTATTTGTATAACTGTTAGTATTACATTATGCAGATATAACTGCTCGTGTGTGGGGGGAGTTGGTGCCATTAATGTATTCGGCATGACTGAACAACAGGGGCGCTTTCTATTTTTTCAATTAGCAGCTCCGTCGTTCTAAACGACTGTGGAGCGAAGGACCCGCCTCGTGCATTGAACTTCGCAGGACGCTGCACTCGGATATTTCATACTGGCGTAGCACACCTCTGCTAGGTAAGACCTGGTGGTGTTGGCCACGTTTCTTTCTCTCTCCAGAAATATAGGAAGAATTGATAGAACAGTATCAATGGTGCTAAACGTGCTGGCAGACTGTGGAAAATCTATTGTTGGCTTTAGCCTATTTCCGCATGTAATCCAGGCGGCTGAACCGTGTTTATAATGCTTGCAATTAAAGGCCTGAAAAGGTGGCTGCCTGTGAGCCTGACAGGAATCCACAAAAGCTTAAGGATCTATTGGTATAAATCATATATCCAAGTGTATTCCTGACAAGATGCGTGCCAGTCTGGATCAAGAGGACTTGAGTTATGTTCTTCCCATTCATTCATCCTGTTGACTTGCATGCACTGAGATAGCAAACACGGTCCTGCCACTGAGCTGAGGTCAGACCCAGTTTAAAAACTTGAATGGGTAATATAGCTACTGAATATCAAATAATTGTATTTGTTGATTTCTCCTGCGTTCCTAAGGTGTTTGTACTTCCCTGCAACTCTCAAGCCTTATGAGCATTAAAAGCAACCACTGACACACATGCATTGCAGGGCCATAGAACTGCAGAGTGCATTTGGGATTTTATAGAAAAAGCATTTCTTCCAGAGTAACCTGGTACAGCACAGAGTCTCTTCTCATACAAACTATAAAATGCTCAAATGTAATTCTATGCCATACTGGGGGAGACAGAAGATCTTGCTTGACTGCACATGCTCCTTATAAGAGGACTCTGCTGCCCTGAAAGAGCTGTTTCGGTGCACCAACTCAGAGTGTTCTTGCAACTTGCTGTAATATCACAATCCAGCCACAAATAAGGTGTGTATTTTCAGCTTGCACCAATCAAGTATTGGTACAAAAAAGATCTATTTCCCAGCCCCCTCTGCCACAGAAAACAATTCACTACAACAGAGCTGTCCTACTTGGAAGTGTCTATAACCTGACCAATGGAAAATCCCCATCCCCTGGTGCTGCAGACTCTCCACCTACAAAATATGTTAAGGCCACATAACCTAACCCTTTCATACCAAGATGGAAGCTGCCTTATCTGTGTTTGGTTGGTCTGCTTCTCAATTATTTTAGACTTGTCAAAAATTGACAACCTTGCCAATGACCACTGCTCTTCACGCTTGTCTCTCTTAACAGATGCTCTGACCTTGGAAACTTCATGCCCAAATAAATCTCCTGCGTACAGCTGGGATCGGCCTTGCAGACAGAGCTCTGGCAGCTGCACATTTGAAAGCGGAGATCTGGGACGTGCATCCGCTTCAGATGTGAAGTCAGTGGGGTGCAAGTACAATGGCAGAATAACTTCTTTGGGGTGAAGGGTGGAAGAGTCCAAGGGATCTAGCAGGTTCCAAGGGAAAGCTTTATCCCCAGTGCATGCTGAGTTCAACAGCAGGGCATCTTGTAGGAACTACTGGATGCTTAGTGGTCAGCTAATGGTGTTATAGGGTAACACTTTGCTTCTGTTAATAAAAGTAATATTAAAACTTTTTACCGAAACCTTTGGTATGACCACTAGCCAAATACAGTGATGGTGTTTCCACTTCATACTGGAGAACTGAGGCATTCAGTATTTAACTTGCAACTGATACTCCCATTTAGGAGTCAAAATCCTGTTGGCTTTGAGGAGTCACTTTTTTTTTTTTTCCAGAGTTTAGAGCAGGAGTTCTGAGGTCTTTGCTTACCAAGCTGCCTCCTTAGATCTTTAAAATAGAGATTGAACTGCTTAAGATTATGAAAGCTAGCTAAATATTGTCAGTGAATATTTTAAAAGATAAGGATGTTCCTGAAGATGCAGAGGCAGGCAGTCTGCAGCAAAAGACTCAGCAGCTCTTGAAGCTTTTGCCACTGGTTTTCTGTAGAATTGTGTGGTGTGGAGGAGGTTGGGAGAAGGACTGGTGGTGGTTCTTGCTGTTTGGGGGAGGAGGGACTGATGGTAGTAGTGAATTTGTCTTTCTCTGAGAGACCAGCTGTCTGACTATACAGATAGCGGTGATTTCAGTTGTTATGTGCTTAAGGAAAATGGGCAATATAGCTTACTGTTGGTTGGGCAATATGCAAATAAAACGTGTATTGCCAGGTGGAAAATATGCTCTGCTGGTAACTATACTGATGCAGACCTTCCTGTTTCCATTACAATGATGGACTCTTCACTTACTGAGGTGAGTGCTGTCTCTGATGCCTGAGATGTGGGGGTTTTTTTGAATGGGTTCAAGCATTTATTGCCTTACCCAGATCCAGACTGAGCAGCTATAAATCAGCACTGCTGCAAGGTGAATGGAGCTGGCATCAGTCAGCAGGGTGCTGTGACATCTTGTTCTGTGTGGGGTAGTCCCTTCTATTTGGGCACGCTTCCTGGAATATTGTAGTTAGAGACCCAGATGTCTTGATGTTCACGTGCATCTGGGTCATCCTTTTAGCTGGGTAGTACTTTAAACGTGGTTTCGAGACTTGAGGCAGTGCTTTTTCTGCAGCAATGCTCAGTTCTGCCAGGGAAGTCTGAGTGACTTTTGCTCTTTTTATCCACCTGCAAGAAGCCACAGGATGTTTTAGTTGTGAATGCTGTCTTTCTCTGCGCTTTATCCCACAGCTACCACCTAACAGCTGAAAAACGACATCTTTGCTGTATTAAAAAACCTTTCTTTCAGCTGGTGTGTTCAGATATGCCTTTGCTGCTGTACTGAATCCTGCATCTATTGGAGTGCTCCTACCTACAGCTTGAGCTGTCAGTCAGCTTTCTCATGGCAACAGCAAGATGAGCCACAGCTCAGCACACTTAGCTGCGCTCAGTGCCACAACGCTCACTATTGAAATCTAGACCTCAGCTCTGCCACATGGGGCTTCTAATGAGCTTTACAAACTCCAGTATTGGTGCTGGTGATGGTGGTGATATTGGACAGTGGTTTCTGTGAACCTGGCAGCATTAGTTTTTGCAAGACTAATGAGCAGGCAACCTTAGATTCACCCTAGCTGGTGTGTGGTACCTCCAGGTGCAGCAGTGGTCCGCTTGTAGCGGGAAATCAAGGCAGAAAGTGCAGTGAGGGTAAAAAAAAGTAAGAGTGAGGGGGCTGCCTGTGGTTTCAGCACACTGCTTGGTTGGGGCAGAGCAGGTGAGGAACTCCTTGCTTGTGCTGCTACTGCTTAAGCTACCTGAAAGAGGATAATCTCAAGGGCTCTTGCTTTATCCAGTCCTTCTGGAAAGTCGCAGCACTGCAAAGTTGTTTGAAATGCCCATGCTTCGTTGCTCTGGAGCTTTCTGTAATTCTAGCTGGGCTCAGAAGTGCTGTTTTCCATTTTTGCTTCTTATTTTTTATATAAACTTTCCATGTGAATATCCTAGAAGAGGGAAAAATGAAAGCATTAAACCTTGCCCCAGAGAAAAGGCAAACGGGCCATGTCCACTATCTGTTCTAAAAACTGTGACGTGCAGCAAAATTTGAATATCCTTGTTTAATAGGAAAAGTCTCCCTAGATGTTGGGGCTTTTATTATGCTGTGGCTTCAGATGTATTTGAGCAATCAAGCCCTTCAGCATGTAAGTAGCTCAAATTATTTTGTCAAAGTATTGTCACCATAGGAGTTTAGGGGCTATTTAATAAAGGAGCTCTTGAGAGCCAGATGAAGCTTGGGCTTTTTATACTTGTTTTGATGTGAAAGTTGTATCACAGCCTAAAAATCAGATGATAGGCCTTCCAAATGTTAATGCTTGTTTGGGAGGAGTTATACAAGACTGTGGACAGAACTTGTCTGCTGTAATAGAGGATCCTTGGATTGTTATGCTAATTGAAGGGATGGGGAGGGGGAGAAGAGATTAGGATTGTACTGCAGGATCATCTTTGACACAATCCTTTTATTAGGAAGAGCCGTTCTCTAATGCCTTGTGCAAACATTTTATTAGAAAAGCTGGAATGTGGGGTATTCACTGTTTCTCTTCAAGTGTACCCTGTGCAACCCATGGGAGCTTGCAATCCTAATAGTCAGTATGGGCTTTTAAAAACAGAATTGAGGGTTTTCCTTCATCGCAAACAGAAACCACTGACCATGTGATTACCTGGGGAAGGAAAGGGCATGTAGAATAACGTATTGCTTTAGTTCCAGGTGATGCAAGGGTTTTTTTTGTTGTTGTTTGTTTGGGCGCTGTGGGGTATGTATTTTATTTTACAAGCTTTTTAGATTTCTTTTGTTTTCATTCCAACATGCTATTTATTTTCACCTTCTCTAATACTCCTGTAGATCTAATGGCCTGAACAAGGCAAATGCAATGCTGTACTTCCTTAAGCTTAATAGATAATTCAAATAAGAATAAAAATAGCCTGGATTTGCATTAGAGGAAACATCCGGCTAGCTGGGGCAAAGCTATGAGTGCAGTCAGGCTCTGGTGGGTGGAGGAGTGGAGAGGAGAGAGAAGGCTCTTGCCGATGCTGGGAACAGTCAGTTGTTCTCAGAAGTGACTGGGGGGTATTGGTCACCTCTTTTTCAACTTTGCTGGGTTTCCTGGGTCCTCTGAGGATGTCTGAGGGAGAAGGAAAGATACCAGAACATAGATGATCAGTTGCTGATATGGTTTTCCTGTTGTCTTTGTCCTTCCTACACACGCTTCACTAGTGCTCTTGAACAGTTGCTATGTAGGGAGCTACCAAACCTGGCTAGCCTCACACCTTCTGTGCTTGGAGATAGGTTTAGGGTTTTTTTTCTTGTATTGAGCACTCCTCTTCAGCTGACTTTACAGGTTGAAACAGAGGTTTAAAAGCTATTTTCATCCACGAAGAGAGACCAAGATATCAGTTGAATAGACAAGTTGGAGTTATCCAGGGTGAAATGAGGAAGAGGGATATTTCCGATTCAGTATCTCCCTCGCCATATTAAAAGACTTCAGAGGATGTTGTTTTTGTCTGTGATGCGATAAGGCTTGGGTCCAGAACCGCACTGTAGTGGCTAAAGGAACATGAACAAAACATTTAGCCTTTAACTGCTGAATTCCTCTCTGCTGTTTGCATACAAAGGAGGCCTGAAGCCTTCTGAAGTGGCCAGGTATTTGTTATACATAATGTGGAAAACTAGTGTCAGTCAAAGACAGACACTAAATGTACAACGCAACGTGCAAGTTCTCTGTGTTCTGAATCATCTGTTTGGTCGAGCTGTTAAAAGTGTTACTATTATTAACAAGTCTGACATCTATAGCCGAGTGAAGTTCTTTGCACCTCACTTGTGGGGTTTGAGGTCAAGACCTTGAAAATGGCTATATCTTGACACACGTCATTAAGATAGAACAGTGGCATGGTAACATGTATATTGGTCATTTGAAAATGTGCATTAGAAGCAAAACATGAAGTCAGGAATCAAAATACATCTCAAAGTACAATATTCCTGAGATAAGATTTCTGCAGAAACAAAGTTATCGCTCCTAATGACGATAACATGCTAAGCTACATACTGTATGTATGGGTGGCTTCAGACCAGCAGAAGAATCTGCATGCACTTACCATTTAGTTCTTCACTACTAAAATAATTTAGGTATAACTGGGGAATTATTTAAAACTTTGACATACAGATTTTCTACTCACACAGCAACCCTTTCCCTGATATTAACTCTTCTCTTTTTATTAAGATTGACTGTGCAGAGCCATCGCTACCAGCCAGTCTGATCCCATCCAGGTCAGATTTTGTGCAAGTTTTTAAGTGTCTTTATCGAGATCGTATACTGTGGATGAGTATCTGAAAGAATTTTGTTTTAGCAGTGATCACTTAACTTCACCCCAAGAAGTTCTTACGTCCTCTTTGGAAAGCACTGCACCAGTAACAGGTAAGTCCTTAATTTGGGGCACAGATGTTTGAACTATTGCACTGACAGTCTTGAAACAGATATGCTCAAGTCTGTGCGTTTACTGAACAGTAAGAGCTCTGTTTTCTGTTGCCTGATATTATAGGCTGCCTTGTTATGGAGGAAAAATCACCCAAGTGTTCACGTGAAAAAGAGGAAGATGTGCCAACTTCCACAGCAATGGAGAAAGACAGCAATAAGGATCCAGCTGGTCCTGTATCAGGTACAGTAACTGCTGCAGCACATGAACACTCACACAGTGAGGAAATGGCTTGCTTCCAGCACATCTTTGAAGTGAGGAAGCTGAGTGAGAAAAATAACTTAATGACAACTTGTGATTCCCCCCCGATGTTGAACATACTTTTGCCTCTGAGTGCTCTCAACCCTCCCTGAGACTGAGCAGGAATAAGATTTTACCTGCTTGTGGGAGGCTGGTAGCCTACAGTGCTGCAAGAAGTAAATGTGAAATAACTTAGTGCAATCTTGATGTTTGCTCAGTTGGCAACACGTTGTGTGGGTACTAAGCTCCGGGCAATTTTGGGAAGAGAGAGAACGTTTTCATGATTTTTAAGAAGTTTAGTGACACAGCTAGACTATACAACACTTTCCGCTCTTTCAAAAGTGATGGTCAGTGCACAAGAAGCTGGTGTGGGTCAAGAGGAGAGATGAGGATAGAGGCCTTTGTGTATGGTTCTGTCTCTTTGCTGTAGCCATAAAGACCTAGAATTACTCTTACCAGATCTGATGGTGCTTCTTCTTCTCTAAAAACCCAAAGCAAAACAAGACTGGAGTATGTGTACCCAGTGTATTTAAGCTATTTTTGAAAAGGCTGATCTGAATAAGCAGCCCAGAATACGTGTGAACGCTTGTTTGTTACCATTTTTTAACCTTTACCTAAATATAAGACTTCTTGTTGCCATTTTTTGGTTGGTTTTGTTTTTCTTTAGTACTATCTTCCTGAAATCTAATTCAGTCCTTTCACTTAAACGTATTTTCTTTCTACTAATTTGCCTCTACTGTTAATTTTCATATGTGGTCTAGGTGCCTTTGGCAAGGAGGAAACAGATATGCAAAACGGATCAGAGAGAGTCCAAATAGCTTTAAAGTCTGAGAATCCTGCTGCCTGTTGTACATCTCTGAATAGAAAGCATTTCTAGTATTAGAATGGAGACACCAATGAATCTCTGTTTGTGGTTTTTGCTAGTACCACACAACATCTTCTAAAGGGGCCTGGGAGCCGGGTCAGATGTATAGGGCTGCTGCAAAAATCAGCAGGGACGAAAGGGACCACTAAGCAGAGGTGGTTGTTCATGTGAAGGATGGAAAGAGAAAGTACTTCAAACTTGAAGGTGGTGTTTGGGGTTTATTTTCCTGTGCCATTTCTTGGGCTTGCATCTGTGTATGACTACATAAACAGAAAAGGGGAAAAAAAAAATCTAGGTGTTCTAAAAGGTGTAAATAGCTACCAGACTTACTGATACACAAGAAATTAACTGACTCTTAAATTTTCTTCAGTTTCTTAAATATCTTCCTTCTTAAATCTTTGTAAGAGCTGTCTTCCTGGAGGTTAATTTTGCCTGCTTTAAAGCTTTTCTAATTTGCGGTGCTCAAAAGTTTGTGTTGCATTTGAACTGGCATCATTGGTTCCTGAACTTACCAGTTCATCACCGCTCGTCTTCTGGGAGAAAGAGTTATTTTGTTGGCTCTGTCAGAACCCTGCTAGTTCACGTTTAAGGTACAAAGGACAATCCAAGTGTCAGTCTATGTTTGAAGCTTATAGACACCTGAAATGCCACAAGTGTATGCATTTCATGACCTGGTTGTGCTCAAGCTCCTTTGTAACAGCAGCTGAAGTAGCTTCTATTTCTTGACTTCATCTGATATTCTATAATGTGAAAAAAGAGAATTACAAATACTCATCACTTCTGTTTTGTGCATGAGATTTTTTTTTTACAGTGCTTATAGAATTCCAAATAAAAACAAATTATAAACTGTCTCTTTAAATAGCAAACAAACAAAAAAAAAACCCCACCACAAACCATGCCGGTAGCAAAATAATGAAATTCATTTATCTAAGGGAATATTACTGTAACTCTTGCTACTTCAACTAGAGTAGCTACAACCAGGAGTAATAGTCTCACATGTAGACATGTAACACTTTGGGATTTTTTCCAAGCCAAACATAATTACTGTCGTACTTCTTCCTGTATGTCTTTACAGCGTTCTTTGCTGCTGCCCGTCCTTCTGAATGCCCTCTCCTGGCATTCGCTACAGTTTCTTTTTAGCCCCGTTGGTCTGTGGCTAGCACACTGGGTGCTGCAGGCTTGTTTTGGTTTTATCATGGCATTTGGTTTTGGGAATGTTTCTCCCCAGGAGCGGATCTGACTGCGAAGGAATCCTGCCCTGTGACGGAAGAACACAAAACTGCATTTCAAAACGTCTTAAAGCAAGGCCTGGTAAGAGTCCTAGTAGCAATAAAACATAGAACTGGTTTGGCTGAGCAGTGACAAAGGAAAACACTACAGGAGGGGACAGACCCTTCCAGTAGTGCTGTGGCTCTTCACTTGCTTACAACTTCTCTCTGATGCACCTTCAGGAGGTAGACCAGGAAAAGAAAAATAATCAAGAGCAGAGCAAGGAAGCACCAGCTCCGGTTCCGAGTAGGAAAGGTAAGAGGATTTTGCTGAACACATTAGTGTAACTCACTGGAATGAATGCCTTGGTCACTCCTGTCAAGATCGGTGCAGGGAGCTGCCTGCCCCACACCGGTTATTGTGAAGGGCCCTTGTTTTAAGGGGTAGTAGCTGCAGTTAGAGATCAAAATGGATTAGCAGTGGAGACAGGGAAGATGTTATGCAAAACCTGCTCCTCTGATTTCTACAGATACTGATCTAACCACTGTAATCTTCCTCTAGAAAGGAGGGAAAATTTCTTAGGAATTGCATATGAGTTGGGATATTGGAAACAATTCTGGCATGCCCGCCCTCCCCAAATATTTGTAAAGCAGCATCCTTTATGCTAGCTAGAGTTTGGGGTAATATGTTGTAGACAAGCAGGGTGATGTTTCCACTACACTGTGCTTAGAAACCTCTACTCTTCTAGTCACTTCACCTTTTGCCTCTGGAGTTTGCTAAAAGCTGCTGATGTAGTTAAGTCACACGTCCTGAACCTATGGGCTGGGGACCTAAACCAAAACCTGTCATTAACCGCTCCTGTACCAATTAAATGTCAGTTGAAGCCAACTAAACTTTTGGGGCTTTGTACAAGTGATGGTGCTGAGCTGTCTTACTGACGCTAACCCTAATGTACTCTGAGGTACACAAATTCTTCTTCTAGGCAAGAGCTTAACACTGGAAATCTGCAACAGTGGTTTCTGTTGGAGCTTAAAAGACTTTGACAAGCTGGTTTTGGGAGGCTGTTTTTTTTTTCACTCTTGTCTGAGAACTTTTCTTTCTCTCTTCTCAGGGAGTTCACCCACTGCAGGTGGCATAAAAGGAGATAAAACAAAGCAAAATGAGCCGTAAGTGTTTTGACTTTCAGTGATCAACTGCAGGTATGAATTTAAAGCTGCTGTTACATGATTATTGTTTGTTCTTATCCTACAGCGACTCTCCTAATGAGAAAGAAGTGGAGGTATGTCTCGACTGCTTATAGCCTTAAGTACCTCGGACAACAGAAAGACCTTATAGATAAGCCCTGATTAATATCTTGCCCTACATAAAAGAATAATGCTGAATAGCCTAAACTGGATGCATTTCTATAAATTAGCCTCTGAAATCTGTCTTTCCAAGCCCAGTGGAAATTTTGAAAGGGAGGGGATGGGAAAAGATGGTAATGTGTAAAACTGAACGAAAGATTTGTCATGACTAAAACATTTGTTTGTAAGCTTGAAGGAGCATAGCTGTGACCTCCTCCCAGGCAGAACGTGCTGATTTAAGACAGTCTTGTCAAAAGACGCAGATGGCACGCTGCGTGCTACCAGGATATCACTTATTCTGGCTGCAGATTTTTTCCCTTCATCACTACATATGGGAACACTGGCTTTGTGGAAATTGGCCGTGTTTGCTTTCTTTTCTGTATCTCCCCTATAACTTTGTTCGTGGGCTATAGTGCCAAATGTCATGTCAGTATCCAAATCTCCTTAAACTGCTCCATCAGTTGGATTATTCTGAAATCTTTTCCTCTCCCACAACAGGCTGAATTTCTGAGGTTGTCTTTAGGTTTTAAATGTGACTTGTTTACCTTGGACAAGAGAGTGAGGCTTGAAGAAAGGTCCCGAGACTTGGCTGAAGAAAATTTGAAAAAGGAGATCACAAATGCTCTAAAGATGTTAGAGGTTAGTGTTGGCCAAGACTGGTAGGGTGGATGGGATGAATGGTTGTGAAAGTATTTGTCTTCACATGGCCTTTTTTTAGGATTTGTGTGTAATACATTCTAAGCAGTTCTGAACTAAGTTCTTACGTGATGCACTTAAAATGAGACTTTTGAGGGGTAGCCTTCATCTGAGTGTGTTGTGTGCTCAGGCAGTGGGGAGCTTTTCTATTGCACAGGTGTTGGGGTTCAGCAAGAACCCCTGTGTTCAGCTAATTTTATGCTAGGTAACTCTGCCTACTGGAGGTCTGTATTCAAGTTACACTGATTGAGGATGTTGGATGCTGATCTTGTGACACTGTGGGCCTGAACGCAACCCCTCAGTGTCATCAGCTGGGTTTGTCCTTCTTTTACTAATAGCTCACACTGGTTTGGGGTTTTTTTAATCGATATGTCTCTTAGGCTTTAGTTCCTTTGTGTGAAGAGGATAACCAAGCACAGGAGATTATTAAGAAGTTGCAGAAAAGCTTGCAGTTCCTTAGCCAGTATGCAGCCCGAGTCGCCAGTAAAGCAGAGATGTTGGGAGCTATTAATCAGGTAACTGTTTCCATATAAATGTATTTTGTACAAAGGTAAAAGCTTTTAGGTGTAAAGGGATAGCAGTATCTGTTTGCCGGGCTTCTGACTCCAGAATTACATTTGCGAATCTTGTGAATGCAACGCAGGCTGACCAGTACAGCTGACCAGTACAGCTTAGTCCTGGCTTTCTCTTCTCAGATCACTGTTTGTGGTGTTACAAGGGATCACAGGCACTGAGAGAGCAGCTATGTTGCAGTAGCAATGTGCAAAAACACACAACAGAAATATGACCCTGATTTTGGATTTTTTGTTTATTTTTAAAAAAGAGCTTTGCATCAGAGGGATGTATACACTAGAGACCACAAGAATGTAGCGTAGCAACAGTAGTCTTGATGCTGTAAGGATGATTCTGTGCCTTATGGAAAGGGCAGCTAATAAGCTAAATCTATGGAAATTTACAAAGACCTACTCAAACGTTACACGTAATTGTGTATAATGCCAAAGAACAGCATGAAAATACGACTTGGCAATACTAGCAAATGCGTGGTGGCAGCTGAGACTGTAGATCAGAGAAAGAGATGAGGAGGAGTTGTAAGGGCTCAGAAAATGAAGACTAATTTATTTTAGGATAAGAGTAATCACTGGAGAAATGAGACCTGTGTAATTTGGGCATGTGTTGAGAGATGGGTTCTAGTTGAAACTTTGAAAGGGTGAACAAAACTGAGAGGATCTCGCATCATGGTGATACAAGATGAGAGTAGATGGTTAAGGAGGGAGAAAAAGTCTTAAACTCTAAACATGATGCAGCTCCTTAAAGACCCCCCTTCTTTTTTCTACTGCTGTTCCACTCATTTAGGAAAGCCGTGTCAGCAAGGCTGTGGAAGTAATGATTCAACATGTGGAAAACCTGAAGCGCATGTACGCAAAAGAACACGCAGAACTTGAGGAGCTGAAACAGGTCCTGCTCCAGAATGAGAGATCTTTTAGTTCTCTTGGAGATCGAGGTAAAGCAGCTTCGTCTTTCCTTTTTCTAGCACCTGCCAGACAGACTCTTACCTAATTGAAGCTTAACATATTAGGTGGAGGCCTTATGGCTGTTCTATCTCCTTTCCTAAAAATAGAGGGAAAAAATAGCAATTTACTAACGGTATTAGAAACAACTCTCTGAAATTAGACTTGTACGTAAACTGCCATGAATCTCAGTGCAGGGGGAAACATTGCAAGTATGCAGTAATGCTCTGGCTTTTCTAAAAGTGCATTGCATGTGGTGGTGATAATCTTTTATTTCTTGTGAGCAGTAAATTTGAGTGCTCACTCACACTGGAGCATTCCCACTAGCTATTTCTACGTAGCTGAGCTTTGATTGCTCTCCACAGATGCTTCCTGCTCTTTTCTAAATACAAATTACAGACTCCTTAAGTGAAGGTGCTCTAAACTTCCCCCTCTAAGCAGGTGGTACAGTGGGTTTCAGATGGCACTGTGCACTTGTGGCTTTGCCAGAGAAGGATTAAATTTTTCTGAAAAACAGAGCGTGTATTTTAAAACCTGAAAGGGCAGTCTTGCACACAGGTAAAATCCTCGCAGGAGCCTTCTAAATCACAGGCTATTCCTTCCTGACTGTCAAAGAATGTTCTGTAACAGGACCCTGTCTCGATAACAGAAGAACACATATAATGATAGCAACAGAAATTGATGCTTGTAGAGGATGTATAATGTGTGAATATTATGAACTTATCTAATGAAATAGAAAGCTTTTTCCTGAAGTCTTATTTCTGCTTTCTATGAGTGCTCTGACACACTCTTCACTTAAACAAATTCTGCAAAAAGTCAAAGATTTAGTTGCAAATAAAGCTCACTGCATTCCTGTAAGCCTTTTTGATGTTTGATCTCTTCACAGATGAATCTGCAAATAAAAAGCTGCCAAATTCTTTTAAGGTAATGGCTGTTGCAGCTTAACTTGAAATTTCAAATGTGTTCTAAGAGTGTGTGTGTGCATTTTTCTTTGCCTTGTCATATGCTCTGCTACATGCTTGACTTAGTAGGTTTCTGTCTCAAATATGGACTGATGTCATCAACCATGAGGATATATTTTTTTTTCAGTCGCCCCCACCAACCCAAGGGAACTGCATGTGGCCCCACTTAGAAGATGAAATGTTCACAGAAGCTGAAATAACTGTGCTTCCGTGCAGTGGTTAAGAAATACTGTTCACTTACGGGTGTCTCATTGGGGTTACAAAAGAAGGATTTAGCACAGAGAGATGAAAAAAAAATAGATGGGAGCAATTCAAACTGATAGTAGAAATTCCTGTGAGCACCATTAGGAGAATTTAGATGCCTTCAGTCTTGGTATTTTGCTGAAAGCTGTGTAGCCAGCCTCACTTCAGATGCCGGGGGGGGGGGGGGGGGGCGAGACGAAG